GAGTGGGGTCTACTGGACACAGACAAAACCACTAGACCCTACACTGCACAACTGACCTGACTGACTGACTTGGGAAGGTCAGACGATGGCCAGATATGAAGACATGGCGTTGAGATCTGAGTAGGTTTGGAGGCAGGTTTTCCACAAATGCCGGAGGCGTTACTAACCAGGTCTTCACTTTGCAATCCAAACCCAACTGACTCAAGTAGCTTTTCTGGTCTGCAGATCTAGACAGTTACAGAAAGTACAGGAAAGTCTTTCTGGGATTGTCAAGTTTCTTACATGCTTCCACTTTACTCTTAACGCACTTCGCTCACTTTGGCTGTATGTGCAACTCTTCAGGAAAAGCTTTAGGAATTAAGTTAAAATATAAATTAGACTTCAAGAAGGTTTGAAACAGATATTGGATTTATTGGTCAGCTATGAGTAGGAAAATACATTGGTAAAGAAAAAGAAGACCCTGTATATAAATATAATACTAACTAGTTAAAATTTGACCAAGAAGAAAGTTCCACTGAAGAGAACAGTAAAAGCCCTTGTTTACCATCAGACCATATTCAGTTTCCCATTTATCTTATTGAAGAGCTGCCTATAGACAAATGCAACATTCTTTGAGCTTAGTGCAGATAATGTGCTGGTTTTTGTTACATGAATGGTAAACAAGAGTTAGTCCAGTGCATTACACATTATACAGAAGAACTGTGAATAAAGACTAAGAGATTCTATTTTAGACACTACTTAAACATACCAAGACACTTAAGTATTACAAATTTATGCAACCAAAAGAAAAGAATAGCAATTAACATACTAAAAAATACTGTGTCCGTCTGGATGAAAAAGGCTTGCTACTTAAGCGGTTAACTGAATTTTTTTAAGTTTACAGTGTAATTAGTTTTTTTCCCCCCAATGGTGTCATAATTATTTTGTCTTTCATACAGGTTTTGTGTGGTTGAAAAAGCAAACCGTAGGCTATTTTCTAAGTCTGCTCTAAAAAAAAGAAACCCAAAACTTTAAAGATTTGCTAAAGTTACATCAAAGATGCATATATACTTAAAGTCAGTTCTGTCAAACGCTAGCCAAGTTTAGCTTTTTTTTTTTTGAAGCTGCTAAAAGGACAAAATAATTACAACACACACCAACTTATATGCTCTTTTCCCCCCCTACTTGTGTTATGTTAAAAGCAGTAACTTGTGGTATTAGTCTTGTACTCTAATCAATTCTTTTAGATAAAGGTATATTTCAATTTACACTTTGACACCCAGAATTCTTGGTAAATGTAAATAAAACTAGGTAAGATATGGCTGACTGTACTTTAAGTGGAAAAAAGCCTGGTCTAACCTAAATAAATCCTTTCAACCCCAAGAATGTTCTGTGACTTTTGCTATATGTGCTTTTACAACAAGAACAGTGAAGGTACATTATGGCAACACCCAGAACCACCTCGAACAAAAATACTGCAAATAACCATTTTATGTTAAAAACTATGAAGCAAACATTCTGATTTTGTGAAGACACAGTTTATTGCCTTATTCTATGTTATAGCTGGAAATTGAGACTTTTGAGTTAGATTTGTTTGACACAGGAATATATTTTCTTTGAAAGATTGTTTGACAAAGTTTATCTCAGCTCTGTTTTGGTGCTTTCTGGTCTAAAAATCAAAATATTTCTCCTTCCTTCAGCCCTCGAGTCATAGCTGCAGTCCAGTTAAAACCCAGTGAAGTCAAAGGAGTGTCTTCAATGTATTCAGTGGGTTTTTGATTGGGACCTGAGGGACTAGTATAAAAGCTGGCAGAAATGGTTATTTAAATGGACCCTTAGACTGTAAGGTGACTAAGCAAGAACAGTTGTGTCTCCAAAAGCACAAGGGGCCATATTTTAACATGCTGTCATAAATTCAAATATTTTTTAAGACTAAGCAATACAGGAGAACACATATTGGATAAAGCTCAAACCTTTAGAATCTAACAAGTGCACTCAAGCTCCAGCATCTATTAAAGTAAATTATCCCCCTCTAAGAAATACAAAATGAGTAAGTGCTTCCCTTCCCCTTCTGTAAAGCTTTCTGGACTCATTACACAATCCAGATAATCAGAAAAGAAAAATATAGTTTGCTCAGTTTGACAAGCTAAATTGGCTCATCATCACTGAAAATTGTCATGATGTACATTACCAAGACATCATTAAGGAAACATGAGTAAAACACCTTTTATTCACACTTTACAAAAAAAAAACAAAAACAAAAACAACAAACAAACAAAAAAACCAGAAAAAAAATAATCCTACGCATTAAGTCTACTACAGCAATACTACCAGCATTTCAATGTACTGATTATAAACTGGACATGTTTGATGTTTTCACAACTAAAACCAGAGCAAAATAACCCCAAGAGATCAGGTCCCAGACAAGGATTCAAGATCAAAATTTCTCCTATTGGAATTTTAAAATGTACATTTTACATATCCGAACTGTTTGTAATTTTTACTTTCAGCTTAAAACAGAACGGTTTGAGCACACTGATGTGCTGACTACTTTTCAATAAAATTTTGAATCATTATTACCAATCCACTCTCTTATATATAAAAATTCACAATATTTAGAAAGTTTTCTCTTAATGCTCAGTGTCCTTTTGCTTCCCTGCCCGCAGCTGAAACAAAAGCTGTTTAAGACCAAGCTCTCTATCTCCTTTTTTTTTTTTTTACATTGATTATTCAAGTTGTATTAGTTTAAGGAGATGATAAATTCTCCCCTTTACGATACAAATAGACAAGTTCAATTTGTAAGCTGTTATATACTTGGCTTCATGACACAAATGGCACTGAGGGTACACCGTAACTTTAGTCTTGCTTGACACTTTAAAATTAGACTTGGTCACTTTAAAAAAAAAAAATGATCTGAAGAATTGTCTTTGGGACCTGTATTGAAAATGCATTTATTTTACACTGCTTCATCAATAGAAAATGTAGGGTTGGGGTTTTTTCTTCAAGGAGTTATACCTTCCGAAACTGAGGAACACACTTAAACGAGAGAGAATTCACATGATAGTAATTCTTAGTGGGAAAAACGGCACTGTGCAATGACACTGAAAGAAGCAGTGCATGGGTATTAGAAGCTAGAAACTGTGTACCCATAACCTGAACATGTTCGAAAAGTGTGATATTCAATGCTTCACAAAGGAAAAAAAGATGCCACAGCTTATACAAAAGTATCTTCATAAAATTTTCACAAGTGTTAACATTATTTAAAAAAATAAAAGAGGATGCACAGGATCTCTCTGCATGCACAGGCAGTGCTAGTTGAGAACAAATTTAAGCAGGCACAGTGGAGATAGGACAAGTATTTAAAACAGAAATGAAGAAGCGGTACACAAGTATCCCTACATTTTACTTCAAAAGTTAGAGATGAGAAAAATATCTGAGTGTATACACATCAGCAATAACTTTCAATCCATACAGGTCTACTTATATTCACTGCTTAGCTTATGTGTTCTGCGAGAACGCTTATGCTTTTCTTTTTTTTTTTAATCAGAAATAGACAGAATGTATTTAGTTATCTCTGTAAGATATTAAGATTTTATAGGTTTGGATTTTAAAAGCAACGTTCTCAATTGAAAATAAAAAGTAGTACAAAAGGGCTAACAAAACCCTAACAGTGCAAATCATTAGCAGAGAAAACCTGTGACAACCTCTTTTACAAGCTGGCCTTTGTAACACATGAAAACAGATAAAAATTTAGCCTTAGTTTACAATACAATCATTTTCCAAATCTGATTTTTCTTTTTTTTAAAGTACAAAATCTCATAAATCAGGTTTTCTGTTGTTCATATACAATCAATAAAGGCTAAATTCAAATTCTATATTTTACAAACAAGTCTGAAAAAGGAGGGAGTGAAGTATGGAAGAATGTTCTGTGGATGTTCCTACTGGCCTCAAAAAGTAGTGCTACAGATAACTGTGCAAAGAGAATATACTGTATAACAATTCCCTATTTCAAGGCATGAAAATGTCATGTTGGATAAAAGAAACAGGAAGGTTAATTGTAATGCATTAAAGAAAGGTGCAAATACACCAATCACTGTCAAACAGTATACAAAGTATATTGGGCTCAGAATTGTGTCTGTTGATAGCACCTGGCTTTTACTATGTCTTTAGCAAATAATTAGATTTAAGATTATTAAGAAAAAAAAAAAATCCCTGTTGGCCATACCTCACTCCTCTATATTCAGATTTTACAATTGTACAAGTTAGATTGAGGTTGCCCTCTAAAATGTACTTGACTACCTCCTGCCAGGGAGATGGATTCCATTTACAGGAGGCAGGAAAGGCAGCAAAAGCTCCAGTTGTGCAAAAAGTGAGAAGTGGTCAGAAGGGATGAGTGGATGTGGACAACCACTTATATTGTTCTCTATTAACCAATGATGATCCAAAGGTCCAAGAATGCCAAGTATGTTTAGCTGAGGTTTAGAGTAGAAGATGTAGTCAATAATACCCTAAAACAAGAAAAGAAATAAAATCTATTAGTAGTGTATATTCTTGAGTCAAGGTATTGTTCCAAACAAAAGGTGAGCTCAGTATTACAAGTAACTACCATTCCTTCTTGACAGCACATCATCGGCTTAGGAGAATTCTGTCATATCCCATGGGTTGCTCAATACAGATTAGGAAAACAAAACACTTCTGCTCTGCTTTTGTGGGTTGTCATTTCCAACCTCCTACAAAGCTTCAAATCGCATTCCTCTGATTTTGAAAAGAGCCATCTTTGCTTCCCCTGGGCAATGGAGCACTGAGAGCTTTCCAGTAGCAACATGGATTATTCCTTGCAGTTGACAGCTTAAGCACCCCTGTTGTACTATTTCATTTAGCTTGGAGTATTAAAATACAAAAATCTTCCTATTTACAGGGAAGGTTAACAGCACCCCAACTCTTGCAAACCTATTACAAGTTACTAACAAGAAAAAGGAAAATTTGGTTTCTAGGAGACTGAAGTGTTGGGCACTCTAGTTTGCTATGTTTTAAATATAGACTTGGTGAATTTACTGTTAGCTACCCAAACGGATTAACTTCTTTGTTAAACAATTTCGTACAGCAAATCACATCAGTTAAACTTCAAAATGGAAAACTTTTCCAAAATATCAGCTAAGTCCTTACCTTGAAGTCAAACGTGTAATTTGTATAAGGCATTAGACCATTCTCATAGGCACTCTTCAACTTGAAACCATGTGTAATTCTTCCATTTGTTGTTCCATTTTTCCCATTACAGCTGAAGTTAGTAAGACTTTCATTGTATCTCAATTCCTTAAAATCTTTGTGGTTTGTTTCCACTCCACCAGTGCTCAAGTACTCAACAACACCTATTAGGAGACACATACACACAAGAAGGTATAAGAAGCATTCAACAAGTAAGTGTGTGTAGATTACTTCAAGTCATACATCCAACCTTATGCATTATAAAAGCAAAACCTGAATACAATATAGTCAGCAGTAGTTCTTATAAAATATTTCAAGACAATGTATATGTATGTCAAGAGCAAATGTCACCTAGGACAAACAGAGACATGCTTTGATTAGAAAAAAGCCAGAAGGTTAATTAGGAACAGACTGATGGAGGGGGCAGATGAACAAAGTGGAAGTAAAATTCTATAGGTGCTAGGTAGGCAGCTTCCTCCTCTCCTCCTCTCTATGCTCAAGCCTTGGCTTTCACCATTCTTTGGCTACAATGTTCAAAAAAGCCAACTTTTGTAACACTACTTCAGATAAAGTTATCTTTAAAGAGGCTGCAAAGCCAAATTGACAAGTTATTTTTGAACAGTGTTTTCTTCCTTTCCATTCCTGTACTGTAAGAGAACAATGAAAACATTTCTGGAAGGCCAGACATAGCTATACTACTGCATAGGCAATAAGGTCACTCACAGAAGAAACAGATCTCTCTTTTCTCTCTTCCTTCTATTTTCTTAGTACATTTAGAGCTTATGATATCAAACAACGTATTATCTAAGTTGAAAACACCTTTAAAAAAGTGAGACCTTAAATTTTAATTTGTTACACACTTGAAACAGTCTAAAAAAAATAAGAAATAGAACTCTTACCAGAGTCTGGTAGAGAATTGAGATCTGCACACAGTACAAGTGGAATGGTTCCAAGTTCTCCCGAAACACCAGGTTTGAGACTACGAGAAGCTTTATCAATAATGTTCTTTACCTCGGACAGGAACATCATAGTCTGAACCAGCTTCACATCAGAATAATCTGGGTCCCAATGCATATGTGCATTAGCTACAAGAACTAGCTGCTTTTCCATGCCAAGATGTGGCTTTCCAGCTAAAATTTAAAATCAGTTATTTACCTTACATGATCAGCAACAAAAAAAACTATTATTGAATTTTAAACAAGATGTTTGAGGGGAAGGAAAAAAAAAAAAACCAAAAAACCAAACCCAGTATAACTTAAAAAGGGTTAATACCATTTAGTTTAAGAGGGTCATACAACTCCTCTTACATCTAAAGTGTTTTAATTGATATAAAGCATTAGGAATAATTGTGTTTCACATTCAAGACCATTACCAGACAGACTATCCTGTTACAGGTAACGCTTACATATTTAAGAATACCGTGAATTACCATAAATAACAGATAATCCTAATGACAGACAAGTAGTGTAGTTCTAAAAAATTAGAAGTTTTCCTCAGGTTGTGAAGGTAAACAGGCACTGCTCATATCTTACTAGGCAATGAGCTCTGAATTTTAAGTTATCCACATTGTAAGTTACCTCTCTTCCTAGAAGTGCTTAAGAGGCTTGTTTGTTAGAATCTGAATTAATAAAATACCATTTGGATAAACGTAACACAGGTTGAGTAGGTACCCACTGCGATACTTATAAAGCCAATTTACATTTACTAAATTAAGAATGACAGGGCAGAAGAAGCAGGTTGTATAAGCGTGACAGTGAAGAAAATAACAAGCTAAACCGATGCAGATACATGACCCAGAAATACGCAAATAACACCGACTCTTTGACACCTGCACATAACTCCAAGGGAAGAAAAAAAAAAAAAAAAAAAAAAAATCACTCAAACGCAAATCTTTAAGTAAAAATGTATAAGCGGGAAAAAATCATCATCATTTAAGCAATACAACTTTTCCCCAAATCCTCTTTGGAAATAAATTTGAGCATACAATGTGCAAAGTTATACCCATCTTTAGAACCTAGTTTCTCTGGTTTACTACAACAAAAGTCAATTTTTTCATTTACAAAATACAATCTATTAAAAAATTAAACAGGACTTACATGACATTTCTATCAATTCCTTTCGCAATTCTAACAATACAGCAACTCCAATGTTATCTTTTGTCATAACTCTGTTCAGCATAGCTTCCGAACCTTCTGAGTTTGCCATAGCTAGCTGATTGAACTCAACAGTATGTTTCTGAACCAAAGTAAATCTGAAAGAGAAACATCATATATGGTTTTCTCAGCAGCCAGATAGAAAAGTAAATGTTATAGATAATTTTCCTTTTAATTAAAGCTCAAACACATTTATGATGCGAAGATCTCAGCCAGTCACATAATTTCATAAAATCCTAAACTGAACTCAAAGGATAGTTTTCCTAGCAATTTTTAGATATTTTACACTAACTTAGTTGGGGGGGGGGGGGGGGGGGGCTTGTCTTTTGCTTTATCAGAAGGCTGATGTATCAAAAAGTCAATGGCATCTGAGATCTTATTTCAGCAATTTGGGGGATTATCAATTCTTTTACTCAAAAAAAGCAAGAAAATAAGACATTTACTTCATTTTTCATTATTAACGACTAATGGTTGGGACACACACACTCAACAATTGAAGTATAGTTTAGTGAACTACTAACCTGCATTGCTCTAACAGAATGAAATTTCAACTTAAACAAAAACTTCAGGGTAAAATTCTCTATTGCTAGTTACACACAGAATGATTTCTCTCGTACAGACCACTCTTTCTAATGATAGGAATGCTCTGTAAGAAACACTGAAGAGCTACAAAGAGGGCAACTAATGCCAAACTGTTTGAGCTGTAGACCGACGTGAGAAATTATGTGAAAGAGAGCAAGACACAACGGAAGGCTTTGCAAAGCACATCACTTACTTTTCTGTTTTGAAAAATATTGCACAACCATCAACATGTTTTCTTTCCTGTTCTGACATTGTCCTAGCTCTAGATTTTGGACTGAAGAATCCATTGTAGCCACGTTCTTTCAACTCTACCAGGAAAAAACTGTAGTACTGTTCTGTTTCAACCTCCTACAAAGTTAGGAGACAGCACAGCATGAATGTACTATTATCAAAATACAAAAGACTGATATTATTTAGACTCTTCAGAAGTGTAAATCACTTTTAAATTAGATTTAAGGGAAAAAAATTGTAAGAATTAAGTACATCAGAGAATGCAAATTTGAGAGCAATATCCCTATTTTAAGAAAATATAAATGAATTTCTGTAATCCCCAGAGTTATGATTATCTCAAGCCTTTTATTTGAAAATGTGTCAATTATAGCCCCACATACGAATGCAGGCACAAAGACACCCCCACGTACATTTCTTTGATCAGCAGCTGCTGGTTCACATTCCAACTGTGTGGGCTGAAAAGCATTCTTTTGATGTCAAGCAACAAATACTGTTCTAAACACCACTTCTTTTTTCTTTTGTTTTCAGAAGGTTTTGAAAACAGACTGTTTACTGTAAATACATTTAATATAGAAAAACCAGCACATGGGAATAGAAAAGGAAAAGAAATAATAGTACATCTTTTACCTGAAGACTTATGATGTCAGCATTGCAGCTCAGGATTTCCTGCATAATGGCTTTTTTTCTGTACTCCCAGTTCAATGCCCAAGATGGACAATAGCCATACAGTTGCCGGGTAGCATATTTATCACAGAGTACGTTGTAACACATGACAGAAAACAAGGCTGCAGAACGATAGTTTTACTTACACACTGATACACTTAAAAAAATAAATATATATATATATATACACACAATTATGTTCTTCACTTTTGTCTTCTGCAAATTTATCAATTCATGCTTCATTTGCTTCAACTAAAACACAGCACTTGTATCTATACTAAAAAAAAAAAATGTTAGTCCTTCTAAGAAGATAAATTATAAGTTTGGACTTATGGCAGCTGTCTTCTAGCATTTAATTAGAAAACAAAAACCAAACCCCCTCTTTATATGGTTAATGCAGTAAATAGCACACAAATGTACTTTATGCTAAGTGGTGCTCTACTGTGAAAAGCCTAAAACAAGGTAAGTGTATTTGAACACTCGCATTTGCTAGCTACAAATAGATTTGCAAACTCTTCAAATAGATTATTTAAAATCTACCTTAATTATTACCACCACAAACTGTAACAGATCCATAGGCACGGTAAGGATCCCTTTGCACAATGAAAAAGTATGGGCAAAATAGACCCCCAAATGTTTCCACCTCAAAAAGCTTACAATTCAGGTGTAAAGACAAGAAACATCTACTCTCTGTATTCACTTGGAACAGGAGTGATAATGAGACAGTTTCAGGCACCTTGACAGGTAATCCAGCAGCATGGATTTTTGGTTTTGTTTTGTTGGGGTTTCTTGTTTGTTTTTAAAAAGCACTAACTAATTTGCAGTACAATAATGACATACTTGGAAGCTTATTGGGAGCTCCTCTTGAACGTGGAGTACAACTTGGGAAAAAGAAACAACACAGTTTGAAGATTTAGCAAATTGAGGCAGTAATCTCGGGCTGACTGGGGGGGTGTCAAAGCCTAGCATTTCGAAAATAAATAGGTGACAGCAAAAGACAGGCTGCATTAACATCATGATCTTTGAAGCAACTGCCTTAATAAAATTAACAGGGGAAAGTAATGTACATCAGCCCTGAAAGAGAGGACACTGCAATGACTGAGAAATACACTAAGATTTTTGGTGTACAGGTAAATAGAAAAGGCTGTATTTTAGACAATTCATGCAGAAAAAATTAGCAAACAACTAAACATGACCTGAATCCCAACAGCAAGAAAAGTGCTGAGTCACAGATGATACATCGGTTACTTAAAAAATTCTACATTTTGGGGAAATTATGCTCATGTTCTTCCATTTTTTTTATTCTTCACCAAATGTTCAATTAAGCCTGTTGTAATTCAACTATTTAACTAATTGTGGACAACAGTTTCAATTCCTCTGACAAAGATGTTAATTAAAAAGAAATTACTTTATAGTAAAAGATGGGTAAATCTGGAACAGGTGTTCCAATTGAGATAGAACTACTTCAGCTGGCTGGCCAGCACTGCACAGATGACTGGTTAATTTAAGCATCAAAAATTTTTAAACAGACAGTAAAGATCCACAGCTTTTATAAAAGAAAAAAAAAAAAAAAAAGAAAAGAGAGAAGCGTTACACTACCTGTTGGTCTTGTACGGTCTGGTTCTTGCAACATAATCCAAGATCTTGGAGGCGGTTGTTCTGTTGAAACTAGGGAAACATTTTAGAGATACAACAAATGACAATCCCATTTATTTTACACAGCAGAAATAAATGTTTTAAGAATGATCACTTACTTCTTTTTGCAGTACCTGCCAAATTATCAAGCAAATAGTTCAGTAGCCTTCGTGTCCCATCTGGTTCCTGATAAAGGTTCAGAATATCCTGTGTAAGTGGATTTCCTGCAAACACATTTACAGAAATATTGAATAATATCGACAAAAACATTATGAACTTATGTATCAGTGTTTAAAGCTGTCATCTCTGAGAAAAGATACTGCATCTGCTATGAACTACTTAAAGGTTTCAAATCTCAGGTCTTCAATCCCACAAAACACTAGATGTGTGAATAGCTCTAGTGAAGCTAACCACATGCCCTTCTGCATCCGTCTTCTGACTGACCACCCCAAGGGCGGTCGTTGGATCTGAGTAGTGAAGAACTGGCATGGTACAACATGCAGGCAGAGTTGATGAGGCCAAACACAGGAGCCACCTCTGCTCGCTTTGCTCGACGCATCCACCATCAGTTTATTTGCCAGTCATATCTGAGCAGAGAGTCTACCATCTGCCAAATGCATAAGCAGATTGTAAAAGTTTTCACGGACAATGCACATTGCAATTATCCAGTTTAAGGGGGAGAAAAAACAGACTTTTGAGGCTTAACAGTGTTTAGAGGTATTGCATCACTCAGTGCTTCTGATTTTGTGATACAAGTTCCCCTGAGTTCAGCAATTTTATAGCTACAATCCATACGGTTCAGAGGAAAAAAAAACAATTGGAAACAGATTTAAATTGCTGCTTGCATAAATAGCACGGTACCCTACAGCAGTAGAAAGCACGTTCCCTTTTTGGTTGGAGTTCAATACCTACAGTTAACTGCAGACTATTTCTTAGTTAAAGCAGCACTGTATTCAACCCCTATGCAAGCAACAGAAAGCTTCCACTCACTCTGCAGAAAGACAAGCAAACCTCTTTATGTGGAATGCTTTGACAAACTCTTTTTTTTTTTTTTTTTTTTTTTAAATAATCCTTAAGTAACAATATTTATAAATGTGGACTAAGTAGCTACATCTGGCATTGCTGTTCAGTAACATTTTATGAACTACAGCCATTACATCTCAGAAACAATATCATTAAACATAGCACAGATACCAAGAAAAAGTAGTAATACCTTTCAGACCCAAAGTCTGTAACTGGAACAGTTTTCCCAGCTCAAAAGGTAAAACTCGTAACAGGTTGTTATTTAAATGTAGTTCCCTGTAGACAGAGCAAGAATCATATAAGGCTGAAAACGTCTTCAGCAGTATAGCACAAGAAGTTTAACTATAAGAGAAACAATACACTAGCAAACCACTATATTGAAAAACTCCAAGACTAAACAGCAATAGTTAGGGAAACCCTTCTGTACTCAAACACACACACATAGACAAAACACATATTATGAAGTACAGAGGAAAGTAGCTGTTTGGCTAGGTCATCTTAAAAAGTCAGAATTTTTGTAAACATTAGCAATAATTAAATACTTAATAACTACAAGTGATGAAGCAGTAACAGCTCTGACAAACCAGACCGTGAAACAGTTCGGCTATGATTAAAGGCCAAATAAAGGGAAATTGTATCCCAGAAAACAAATAAGCAAAAAAATCCAGGATCATAGCAGTACAATTAGAGCTATAACATTACCATGTAATAGTCATTTACAATAGTAATTTTCTGGGTTTTTTTTTTCCTCCATAATTTCAGTGTTAAGACAAAATACATGCTTTTAAACTTACAAAACCAATATGCAGACAGGAACAGAATTCATGTCCTGAACTCTGATATCCCAACTAACTGGGCAGTGAAAATGGACTTGTTAGGAGCTTTTCACTGTCTTAAATGCATTCCCATCTAAGCAGTAAAGACTTTCCTCACCATATTCAATATGAAGTTGCTACTTCAAAGCGTTTACAACTTGGTGCCTAGAGACTTGAAAAATATTTTGGGGCAACAAAAAAGGGAAAAAGTAAAAAAAGGAAAGGGAAAAAAAAAAAAAAAGGAAACCTGGATGCCAAGAGTTACCTTAGCTCTTTTAGATTTCTGCAAGACAGCATTTGAAGAAAAGAAACACAACTCTTCTTCTAGCCTTGCATTTCAAGAGTAACCTCTGCCTGGTCCTTCCCTAACAAGGGCCTCTGAGAAATTCTCTCCGTTTCACTGCATACTTAGAAACCTTGGTAAAAGTAAAGTGGCTTGTTTTAGAGACAGTCTGGGGTGTGGAACAGTGGAAGAAGATACAGGAGGGGACTTTCTTTTTATTTCACTGGGTTATCTAGAAACGTCAAGTCATTACTCAACTGATTGCCAAACTATAACACACCTAGCCAACCACAGGGGGTTTGGGGGTTTTTTCAATATAAAATCCCATAGACAAAAGCACATATTTTAGAGAGAAACTCAGAAGCCCACTGTGTCATTCTAGGGTTTCTAAGTATGAATGAGGCACATGGCAGGTAGAAAAGAGCATGGGGTGGTTTAAAAAAAAAAATTTTTAAAAAAATCAACATCTCCACTAGTTCTCAGCATTTGCATAGGCATTTGAGGTGTAAATGGCTATTATTTTTAGGGATGATATTCTGTATGACATTATAAAGCTACTAGTTTATTCTTTAGGAAGCTCCTTTTCCCTCCAAGAGTTTTTCAAAACACTGTTGAAGTCTAAAAAAAGTTACGTATGAATTACAAAAAACTATACTAAATTCTTCTAGAGGAAAAACACCAAGCTGGAAGAATGGCACAGCAGTAGGTACCATTATGCTTTCTCTCTTGGATTTTCTCTAATGATCCTTGCCTCCTTGGTAACTGCTCCCTCTACACAGCAAAGGGGATCACAGCAAATCCAACTAGTTCTTTCAAGCATATCAAGAGAATCTGTTTTACAGCTAAGCTTTCCAAGATAACATCTTACAGTGTTTATTTTTTCTCCTCTTTCCACAAAGACCAGAAATCTTACTGCTCTCCCTGACACCTTTCTTCAAGGACCTGCAGTAAAAAGGGAGATGCAAGGAGCCTTAGGCAAGCTTTGCCGTACAGACCAAACCCAGAGCTCCAGATGTGGGAGTGGAAAGACCTGTTATCAATTCTCAAGTGCGAGAGCACAAATGATTTCTGTGGCTCAGGATATCAGCAATGCCCAGCGCTGAATTACCGTTTGAACAACTTCCCAGAAGCTATGGGAAGTGTCTGCAGTAAGAGCCAGCCTGAAACATAAAACTCCAGCACAGCTGAGACCTGCAGAGTGTCATCGTGTAGGATGCACTTATGGGTTTTTCTTTACTTTCACCCCAGTGAAAAGAAATCACGGATCAGCTGCAACTATGGAGGACAGAGAGCGCAGTGGATTAATGCACTAGCTTTTCACGTCTAGAGATTCAAGTATTATGTTTAGGTCACAAACAGAAAACTAGTGTGATCCTAGACCTTAGCTACACATTTCACATTCACAAGATTTAGCCTTCTCTACTCAGAAGAGACTTAGGATTTGGAAGAGCTGAAGCTTCATAGAATCAGCCAGAATAAACTGGGAAAAGTGTTGGGAAGAAGGCATAGTATCTTTTGACACTACTGATGACTATACAGTGCAAAGCTAACTCCATGTCACGAGCATTATGTTTACAGCAATATTTTAAAAGGAAAAGGACTGATGAAAATAAAAGGATGCTAATGAAGTACAAAGATGAGTTTGAGAATATTCCAGTAAATTTAGGGTTGCTAGCTCACAATACCCAAGGAGTGGATAAGGGAGGGAAGAAACCTGTTAATAATAACTGCTTTTAATTGAAATAGTAAATGTAAAGCTTGCTTCAGAACAGACTGCTTCACAGCTGAAAACAACTATACAACACACTACAAAACAGGGCTGCCAATTCACTTTGCTCAGCCTCCAAGGTTGAGACTTTAACTGCTCTGGAATTTTGAGCTTTTAGTACCAGTTTAATCAGCTAGTTTAATCCTCCCCAACAGAGTGGACTTTTCTAAAGCAGAAGAAAATGCGATGACTGATACTTCTATGTGCAAACTTGCTTTGCTTCCAGTTTCATTAAAGCTGTGCTGGCAGTCCATCTCTCTGTTGTCGTCATCATCTTTACTTCTAATAACATTCTCGTTACTTTTAGACTCAGTGTTTTCTGGATTTGAGAAAGCTGTCCATAAATGTCTTCAAAATTAAAAGCAATGAAGGCAATTACTGGTGACTGTCTAATAAACCTAAAATAAGGCTCCTCCTTTGGGTCAAGAGCAAAAGAATGTTGCCTGTAAATATTTACTCATATATAAATCATTTATATATTTAAATAACAGTGTTTTTACAAAGTGAAATGCTGCAGCCTTAATTATAATCTAAATAGGCATCACTATTTATGTTTCACTACCAAAAGGAGGTATCAGTCCATGCAAACTTTGCACATCTTGGCACTGTAAAATTGAGGGAAAAAAGGCGCATTTAGAACTTTTTTTTCTCCTCCCCAGTTTGCACAGGAATGCAGCTACATGGTAGCAAAGGTGGGAAGGAGATGATATTAAGCAAGTTGCAGTTGTCATAAAATACACAGAATAAGAACTATTGTTAAAAATAATTACTGAAGACGAATAAAGAGGAAAAAATTGTAGTCAGCATGATTATGAATGTTTAATCTGACCTTTTTCCTACCCTACTATGAGTTAAAAGCAATTGGGTTTGTGCATCAGTATTTCTTAGAGAAAAATGCCACATCAAGATTTGTAAGAGAGTCTGCAAAGAGATGTATAAGAGAGGAAACCTGACTTGGAAAAATATAAAATGGGTGATTACTATCAAACTGAGCACTTCTGAAGCTCATTCCATACTGTCATACATCACAACAGGAGATAACAGAAAAGCCAACATTGCTATAGCTGCACAGACCATACCGAGTATTCAGGGAGACCTATTAAAAGAAGTGAGGAAAGGGGAATTTACCTATGCTTTTTGTTTACTAGAACGTAAAAACTATGCTGAAATTTAGACTGTTGCTACAAAGATAGTAAGAGAACAATTTTAACTCCTGTTAAAATTTACACACCTGAGTGACACCATGTTTCCGAGCTCTGCTGGTAAACTGCGAATTTTATTAGAGGACAGGTCCAGATATACCAGATTGTGAAGCTTGGCAATGTCTGAAGGAATACGGGATAAGGAATTGTCACTGAGATGCAAAGCTGTCAAATGGGTCAGTGTCCACAATGATGAACTCAAGCTTCTCACTTTCCCTGTGGAAGGAAGGTACAAAAGAAAATAGAACATTTAAAATATATAGGTTTAGCAATAATTACACCTTTTGTAAGTATGTATGGGGCGGGGGGGCTCGAGGGGGAGGTTTGTTTGGTTTTTTGTTGTGGTTTTTATTATTATTGCTTTGTTCAATGAAAATTCCACTAATCGCTGATTCTATAGATCAAAAAAATTCAGCAATGCATAAGAGAATGTAAGGTGTTGCCAGGGATGCTTAGATTGTTTTTCTCCAATCCATACTTAAGGTTTAAACACCTGTCTTTCTCAAGTTCCATACAAAACAAGATGTATTTACTAACTGACCATGAATTCAATAATTAACATACGCGTAAGAAACAGATTTATTTTTTTTTCAATTACAGTTTATATTTGGGATGAAAGATGCTTCTTCGGTTTGCCTCTATTTCTGTGCAATGTCTTTCAAACCAAAAATCTATATTCTATGGCATTAATCCAGCCCAGAACAGATAGAAGCACTATATTTAGGGTGACTAAAATGCTTAGTTGAGAACATGGATTTCCATCTGGCATTCAACTAAAAGCTGCATAAACTATTGCCAGATATTTAAAAAAAAGGATATGATTTTTATATAAACTGAAGGGTGGAAACATGGATTTGTGTGACAGAATCAAGATTTTTACATTGTCGCATGCAAGGAATGTGAGATGTCATCATCAGGTCTCAAAACATTTCTTCTCTCCAAAATTTTTTTTCCCCCCAGGAGTGGATCGTTTTTCATTTACAGAAGTCATCTCACTGAACCAAAAGCGTTAGAAGAAGAGTACCAATGCCAGTATGTCCACAGTAAAAAGTTACTTGTGAGAGCCTTTAAAAACCCCACCATGACTCACCAATATTAAGAACAGTCTGGTTAAAATTACACAAGCATACACACATTAGAATTCCTTTCCTTAAATGATTTTCTTCAAAATAAAAGAAGTAATATTTAGTGCCTGGGGAAAGCTACACTGATAACACGTCTATCTGGGACTCAGTCCCTGGTAACAAAAGGTTTAATACAGGTATCATTTCCAGTGAGCTATGAGAAAGAGAGTGGCATAAAAAAGTGTACAATGAAAAAGCTCAGTGATTTAAATAAGAGCAGTTAAAACATTTGTGGCTTTCTGTATTAGATAACCAAGTATTTTGCAAGGAAAGGACAGTGTGAACATTAATAAAACAAAAACACTGTCACATTTTATTTTGCAAGGCAAATGCATACAGTTCTTAAAGGATTCATGCTACTGCAATGCTCATTAAGAAAACTTTTGAAAGGTTTTAAATACAATAGCTCTTTGCCTTTTTAAAATTGAATTAACACCTCTTCCCCGCCCCCCCCATCACAGGTGACTGTGATCAAAGAAACCCTTGTAGCTGAAAGGATTTCCAATCAACATCACTGATCCATCCTCCTCACTACCTGCACCTCTTTTGGCTGGACTCAGTCTATAGTGAGATTACCAGGCATGAAAGGAAAGAGCCATCGCTTAATGAATTTCCTTATGCAGAGCAGCAGATGTCCAAGTGGATATGCAAGCCTAATGCTGACATATAATGCTGATTCCTGGAGCAGCATTTAACTAGGTTTCTGCATCTGTAACCTTCAAGTAAAGAATGCTGTTCACATGTTAAGGCACGTGGCACTTGAAGCAAGACACAGATTCAATGATCTGGATGAAAAGACTCTTCACAATTCAAAGAATTCTATCTGGATTCCTCCTTCCCTAAATTTCTCCATTGGACAGTCATTTAGAAATACCACATGGCAATTTTTGCAGTCTCTTAAAGAACCTCCATATTTAAGCAAAGTTTCAGCCTAAATTTACAACATCACAAAATACTTTTTAAATCCTGAAAATATTTGCTTGAATTTCCTTGTAAACACACTTTATGTAGCAAAATCAGAATTTACTCTACAAATCAAGAGACACTGGTGTCCTACACCAGTAGGAATTAATGTTTATGAATTCTAAGCATTATCTTATTTTCAATAAAAGATCCAAAAGTCAAACAGTATCTCAAAGCTAGCACAGTTCTTGGAAGATCTTTTTAAATTTTTATTTATTTATTTATTTAAATCTCAAGAACAGGGCAAAGATTTACAACTGCTTTTAAACTGAAAACTGCTGCTTCAATAGAAACTATACTGTCGTGGACTAATACAACATTGTTGTTGCATTACTTAAAGTAACAGCATATGTCTATATATCATTCACAACTTCACCCTCTTGTCTTTCACAAACTAGATCTTAAATCCACTCTCTCACCCACCCTGTATTCTTAAAACACAAAGAGCTCACAGCCCTATCCTCATCTTTCCAACTTTCCTACACATTATGATTCCCCACCTGCCTCAACTTACCACTCCTACAGCTCCCTACATTGTCCCAACCCAACCTCTTCGCTTTACAGATCCAAAGGCTGGCAGATGCTATGTTGGTGTGCTGGCTCACTTCAAGGTAGGTAACTCCACTCCAGACTTCTTGTCCGAGCCTATACTGCGTAGGCTACTCTTAACTTGCAATGAGTTCATAACTCGGGACCATTCCTTGGTTTCTTACCACTTATTTCCAACTCTGCCCAGTGTGATTTCTTTCCGTTGGCTGCTTCCTCTGAGGACATAATTGTGTACATCCTCCGTGGATCAGGTGGATCGTACTTTTCCTTGGGCATTCCT